TTGATGTTGTAAATGATTTTGTCTTCTCGTTGATTGCTATTCTACAAACTACCTTACAAGTTATTTGCATAAAACAAGAACAAATACAGGGTTAATTACAGGAAAACCCCCATAAAGTTTTGGGGAATTAATGTTAGATTATCAATTACAGAAAACCCCCCATGATTGCCATGAACATTTCTGGGAATAATGTGAGATTATCAATTGATGTTGTAAATGATTTTGTCTCCTCGTTGATTGCTATTCTATAAAGTAATTTACGAATCTATTTGCGGAAAACAAGAACAAATACGGGGTTAATTATTTTTAAAAAATCCTCATAAACTTTTGGAGAGTTGTAGTAAATAGGGGTGTGCAACGGTCGGTTCGGTTCGGTTTTTACCAAAATTTGAACAACCGAACCGAACCGCATATAATTCAAAACCGAACCGAACTGTTGCAAGTCGGTTCGGTGCGGTTCGGTTCGGTTTGTTCGGTTCTAACTTCATCAAACTTCTTATCAAACAACAAACTGTGTTAAAGAAAAAAAAAGATATCAACAAAGTAAGAGATTGTGAAGCATTAAACATTAATATAATGATATTGTTTTCAACCCATAATGATTCAAAAAATGAGTTTAAGGTTTGAGTCTTTGACTCTTTGGAGACGGGTCAGGTAAGGTTTGAGATCAGAATGTGTAGTATTGCACTATATTTGGTGGGTTCGGGTCGGTTCGGGTTGAAAAATTTTCAAACCGACCCGAACCGCCCTACTCATAAAACCGATTTTTTCGGGTCGGTTCGGGTCGGTTCGGTCGGTTTTTTCGGTTTGGACCGAACCATGCCCTAGTAGTAAACCCTCATCAGCTTTTTTATTACACTAAACTCTCTAAACTTTAAGAGTTATTGCACATAACACCAATGAAATGTTTTTATTTCACTAAATTTTTCATTTAATCTTCTAATTAGCATCATCGATGCTAACATCTCAAGTGGAAAGCATATGCCAAAAAAATTTCTTAGTCTCAAAAGGCTACTTATTTTTTCTTTTTTATGAAGGTTTTTTTTTGGGATTACGAATTTTATCTTCTTTTTTAGTCATGTGCCGATGACACATTAGAGTAAGTGGTACTAATATGGAGATTAAAAGGTAAATTTTCAAACAAATTTTAAAGAAATAAAACAATTCATGAGCATTAGTACAATAACTCCTAAAGTTTAGGAGATTTAGTGTAATAAAATAAGTTGACAGATATTTACCGTAACTCCCAAAAATCCATAGAATTTTCTGTAACTAACTCATAAATATATTTAATTTAGGAGTTAAGATTTCAACCTCAATAGAGGGCCTGAAAGTCCAAAGTGGATGGACCCTGGACCCGGTGCTGGACTAAGTGGACTTCGCCTTCGCACTACTAATTTGTTTTCTTTCTCTTATTATCTTTTTTCTTTCTTTTTTTTTTAATTAACTAGAATAAGGTGTTCAGAAAATTTATTGATTGAATAAATTAGATACATAATATCAGGAAGAAAAAGGAAAAAAAATAGAATTACAAAAGGTAAAAAAGAATACGAAAACGAAGAAAACAACTAGTCAAGTTGTCACATAGTTCTGATCTAGTTGTCCTACTCCGGTATAAGGTTTTATCTTCCATCTCGTCCCCTATATTACAGTTCTTTATTCAAATTTACTTCATGGCTTATCAAAGCTGTTGATAAAATTAGAAGAAATTTTCTTTGGAATGGTAGTCATCATCTCTCAAAAGCCAAGTGTATGGTTGCTTGGAACACAGTCTGTAGACCAAAACAAGATGGGGGTTGGGAGTCATTGATCTATCATCTTTCAATATTGCTTTCCTTTCTAAATGAATCTGGAAAATTTTCGACAGAGAATCCTTAATCAGTAAAGTGATTTTCTCTTTGTACTCCAAAGATGATATCAATCCAGTTGTGCATCAACCTAAATCTCAAGCTTCTAAACTTATTAAAGATCTGTTCTCCATCAGTTCTGTTTTCTTCAACTTTGCTAGATGGAATGTTGGTAATGGTAGGTATTGCAAATTTTGGATTGACAAATGGTCTTGTTCTAACTCCTTTATCAGTCTTTTTCCCAAAGCTTTCAATATGGCCTTCTCCACCAACTGCAGCATCCGTTCTCAAGGTTACAATTAAGATCGTTCATGGTTCTGGCATCCCATCCTTAGAAGAGGAGTCTCTCATGTAGAGAGAAATGATATTGAGTCCCTTCACTCCTTCCTGGTTCACTATTCATGTGAAGTCATCACTTCTACTAACAGTTTATGGTGGCCACTTCATCCTTAAAGTCAATTCTCTGTTAAATCATTTTATTCTGCTTTAAAATCAGGAGGCTGGAAATTCAGGTACTTCAACTTCATATGGAAATCTCCCTCTCCTCTGAAAGTCAAGGTGTTCTTCTGGATTGTTAGCAAAAACAAGCTCAACACTAGGGTGTTTTCGTTGAAAGCTGCCTTCATCATTGATTTTATTAAACTTTAGTCGTTTACAAATGAATTCAAATAACAAAAATAAAAAAATTATAACTTTCTTGAAAATAAACACAAGATCCGTTTATCGGCTCTTGTTTGCATGGGTTCTTCGCCGGTGCCGGGGTTTATCCGTGGACGATCGCGAATCAGATCCGGTTGCTGGAAAATCGGGCAGAGCTCCTACCTCACCAAGAGGGTATTTGCTTGAAGCGCTGAGATCGACCAAGCGAAATCAGGGCTCTTCTCGAGATTAAGACCAAGCCTAATCTCAAGGAACGGACGTACGGGCTTCAGATCCTTCGAACGGCTTCTCCTTTGTGTTGAAGTTCATCGGGATCCCGCTAGCCTTAGCTGAAATTTCGTGCTCCTTGACTCTTCAATCCAGCAGCACCTCGTCCTCTTGATAAAATTCCAGCCCTCGAAAATGGAGGCCTTGGGTTCATATTTATACGCCTCGGGTGCGGTTATTTGGATGAGAACAAGTGATTTGACTCTATCTTCAGTTAACAACAGCCTAACCATGTTTGGGGATGATATCAGGTCAGTTAGGAACCCCTGGAATAGATAAATCCTGTGAAAACCGCTTTAAAACCGTCAAAACGCGTTTCGGGTTCCAGACTGCGCGACGCGGGTCGGACAGATCCGACCCGTGCTTGCATGGGTCGGACCAATCCGACCTGCGCTTGGGCGGGCCAGACACATCCGACCCGCGCTTACGCGGGTCGGTTTGTTCCGTCCTGCGCTCACGCAGGTTTGCGGACTTTTTTCTTTTCCTGATCTCTTTCTTCCGGGACTTGTTCTTTTCGTGTATTTGGTCGATTTGCTGACTTGTATGCTTCATCGTGAGACCGACCGTCGAACGCGCATTGGTTAACGTACGCATGTTGATCGATGCGCACGGGATGATTAGCGTGCGCGCGTTGACCGACGCGCACGAGCTGGTTGACGTGCACGTGTTGACCGACGCGCATGAGTTGGTTTGACGTGCACGCGGGTTGATCGATGCACGCGGGCTGATTGGCGTGCGCGTGTTGACCGACGCGCACGAGCTGGTTGACGTGCGCGCGTGTTTATCGACGCGCACGAGATGATTTGACGTGCGCGCGTTGACCGACGTATATGAGATGATTTGACGTGCGCGCTGACCGACATGCACGAGATGATTTGACGTGCGCGCTGACCGGCGCGCATGAGCTGGTTGACTTGTGCGCATTGACCGACGTGCACGAGTTAGTTTGACGTGAACGCGTTTGACCGACGCGCACGAGATGATTTGACGTGCGCGCG